GTAAACGTGATGCACTTGTTGTTACTTAAACCACATGCCGTTAAGAATATTTGCAAGAATTCATTCATCATGTATCATCATACTATAATTGTCAGCATGTATGCATTCGCAACATCTTATACCATATTCATGCATCTAGGATCGACAGAGGAGATAACGTTGCTGGAGTGCGACGAAGGAGAGGAAGGGGACCAGCAGGAGAATCCTCAAGCCACAGCTCCCAAAGGTGAGGAGCAGAACCCAGAAGAGCTTCCAGAGTGTCCTGACCACCGCCCTACTTCCTTTCTGTGAGGCAAGCCCCGGAGCATTTTAAGTCTCCCAACATTTTATAAATGATTACTTAAGTACTTATGATTGATGCATTAGGTTATAAGAGTTGATTGGAACCCCTCGATGCATATGAATTCCTTGTCCAGATATTACACCTTTAACCGGTATAGGTCCAGGATCAAATATATGCTTAGCCATGCTTAGACCGGTAGAAGTCGGGTGATTTCCTGTCACCTACGAGATATATGTGGATACCGGAAGCACGGTTGGCTATATTTGCTATCGTGGAATAGAACCATGGGGTAAAAGAAAATCGAGGCCGGGTGGAGTCTATGCATAGGATGACTCATGAGATTCCGTCTGTGCCGATCAAGGACCGTACTGTTGTTGGAACTTTTGACAAGATTAAACGCATGCCTATCACTTAGCTGGCCGGATAACTCCTTCTGAACCGCGAAGCCGAGTAGCTCAACTCAAGCCGGGCCCCATTCTATTGTGCGCTCCTTATGGGGGGCGATCAGACTGAGCCCAAGGGCAGGCTAGGCCTAAACGTCCTGGCATCTGGTGTCCCAGATTGTGCGGCGTGGTACGGACCCGCGAAATGTGTACCTGAGTTGTACCAAAGGTGACCTAAGGCTGCCTTCGCGCGGTATGCCTAGGTTTGTGTTAGGAATAAATTCCCAGCTGGTTGAAATCGATTCGAATCGTCGTCTCTCCCGGATAGTGAGAAACTTGGCTAGCTCCAACATCGTAGTAACTGTGTTATGGAACATGATGGTTCGGATGAATATGGAATTACAATACCTGCTATGGTTACTATTGTATTGCTTTTAAATGGATATACCACATGTTCAGCACAGGATAGTTGCTAATCTAGAGATGGATAGTTATAATTAACCTGATATTGGAACCATAATTGTATAACTAAGTTAATCGCTTTTATGCAAAATGTTGTCAAGCTATCTCCACTTATTCGGCCTTGCATAATCCTTGGAGTCATTTTATTTCTGGTTTATGATGGGTAAGTCTAGCTGAGTACCTTCTTGTACTCAGGGTTTTATTTTCCCTTTGTTGCAGATGGCACTGTGTATCATGGTTATTGCAAGAGTTGCTTCTATCCCGCTGTGGATGAGGAGTAAGCCTTGGGCAGGCTTCTTATTAATCCTTCTACATGCTTTTGTGGACCGTGATTGTATTTTGGCACTGTATTAAACTATGTTGGAAATTTTACTTTCAAACTTAATTTGCTTCCGCTTTTATCTACCAACTCGGTTTGTAATAACTGTGTTTCATACTCTGATGATGAAAATGTATCTGTGAACTTTATGTAATATGTGACAGGTATGTTGAATCATGTACGATCTTGGTTGTTGTCAATCGTTTATCGAGACCCATCGTGGTACTCGACAGACTACCGGGTTTATATGGGCTCAAGTATGATAGTGTGACCGCTTGCGGACCGCCATTGTACTTGTGTTCTTATAAATTGGTTTGTTCTACGACAAAATGCATCTGATATATCGGCCATGGGACCTTGAGCCTTGGTATCCAACAGCTTCTGAGGATCGGTGCTAGCAGGCTGCTGTTGACGTCTGTTCTCCTGCAAGGCTTTCTCCCGCTACTCATAGAAGTCGAAATCTTCCAGGATTGTTGTCTCAGCCTCATGGCTCTTGAAGATTGTAAGCATCTGGAGGCCCTGTTCCAGCTTCACCTGTATGTTAAGAGTTGGTGAATTTATTCAGAAATGCCAATCCACAGGAGTATTTGTATATCTAAATATTCAAACAAAACTATCACAAAACCATAAAAATCGACAAAACTCAAGTGCAGAGGTTGGAGTTTGCAAACATTCCAAGACCTTAGCTGTTAAAAAAACTCAAATTCCGATACCGGAATGTCAAGAATCCTACGCTTAATTCTCAATTCCTGTCATTCTAGTCCCCAAAGCAGGCCGCACGAACCAATGAACCTAATACCAAGGGTTCTAGCGATAGAAGGTCCGCTGCGGCGGGGGGGCGATGTTACCTTGCGCTTGAGGTTGTAGCGGTGCCATTCAGAGCGGTAGTGGAGCCGCTGCTGCTCCTCGTCGTCGAACCCCGCGTTGCACGCATTGCAGGTGACTGTCGGCATCCTCGCTCAGCTCCCTCCTCTCCGCTCGCTACGGATTCGGCTTGCTCTGGCGGGCACGGGCGGGGAGGACTCTCTCTTCTCTCCTCCTTCCGGTGCCACTTCGCCTTGTATGCGGCGGCGCCTCGGTGGTGAAGAGTTGGGGGAAAGTGGCAGCAGGGCGGGGAAGAAGGGGGAGGAGGAGAAGTAGGAGAGGGTGAGGCGGCCGTGTTTGTTCCACTTCTGGGCCGGCCCGTTAACAAAGTGTGTTGATTGTTCCACTTCTATTGCCAAAGCTTGGTTCTTTAGTGCCACCTCGCCAATTCGGAGAGGCAAAACTCAGCTTAAAAGCTGAAGCCGCCAAACCACACTGAACTTCTCATATCAAGCGCTATTCCGAAATTGTTACCCTTCTGGGCTAGTTGAGGGCGGTAGCTTTGCTAGGCTCCCCGTAGGGGTTGAGCTTGGCGCGGCCGCTGGTCCTTGGCTGGCCCACTGAAGTGCCAACTTTTTTGTTTTCTAATTCTATGATAATCGTTCCAACTTAATTTTTTTTAAATATATTTCTATCGTGTCCAGCTAGTAACTAAATATCATATTCCATTTTTTTCCTAATTCTATTATAATCATTCCTACTGACTTTATTTTTAAAAAAACATATTTCTATCATGTCCAACTAGTAAATAAGTATCAAACTCCTTTTTTTCTAATTCTATGCTAATCATTGCAACTGAATTTATTTTTTTTAAAACATATTTGTATCCTGTCCAACTAGTAACTACGAATCATATTCCATTTAGTGGCATATCGTTTTGCCTGTCTTCCTATGTTAGTGATGTCGTACCGAGCATGCCACGTCGCCTAGATATGTGATATGCTCCTTTCGAGTGCTGTCTTATGCCATCGAGTGCCTAGCTCATCGTCTCCAACTAGTCACAATTTGTCCCATTTCATTCCATGTCTAACATTGTTGTGGTGTAGTACTCAGTGTGCCATGTCGACTAGATATGTGTTCTGGACCTTTCAAGTTCTATGTCTTATGCCATTGAGTGCCTACCTCATCGTGTCCAACGAGTGCCACATCTTTGACTATGTTAGGTAGATGTTGTGTCATATGTAGCTAGGATGCCACGTCGAACAACAACTTGATATGTAGTCTCATCCTCTCGAGTGCCATGTCATATGCTACCAAGTGCGATGTCGTATGCCACTGAGTGCCTCATCATGATCATAGGGGCACGTCATTGCCTATGTCTCATCCATTGAGTGGCACGTCATTGCCTACTTCTAGTGCTACTACTACTTCTGCAGTGGTGTTGGTACCCACGGCGAAACCTTATAGGGGGTGTAAAACAGGCTTGGAGGACTTTGTAATGGGCTTGTAGTGTGACCTCGCGAAGCACCTAGGTAGTGTGAATCGTGATGTGGAAAACATGACTCATAGTGAAAATGTGCAATATCTGTAGAGTGTAAAACCAATATATCAGCCGTGCTCACGGACAAGATCGACTTGGACTTCTTCGAGATTAGATGGCTCTGGTTTGTTTGGGGTGGTTCCCTTGGTAAGGGAATGGTTGGTTCAGTTGGGAGCTTGGATGGAATCCAAGTGTTGGTTTGGTTCTATGAGGAGAAGGCAGAATTCACCTAGTAATTAGGTGCAAAGGAATTAAGGAAATTAGAATGTGTCGCTTAAGCGCTGGTGTCAAACAAAGTTAGCCTATCCATGCTATAAGCCTCATGTCACGTACGAATAAATTGATCCTGGCATACATATGTTGTGCATTCGATTTTGATTCTGGCATACGCGGCCGCCGAGCTCGAGCGAAACCCTAGCACGGCCTCCCTCTTCCTCGACCTGGCCCTGCGGCTTTTACCATTTTTTAGTTATAGAGACAAGCCCTCTCGAGAGAAATTTGGCTCCCAAATTTTCCCACAATACATAGATTAAATGAATTTCTTTATGTCAGTTGGAACAAATTCCAAATTGAATTGTGTGTACTCCTACTGAAAAAATTACGTAAATATATATTTAAATTGTATGTATGCAAAAGTTATATTTGAAAAACTGCCCATATAAAATTGTGACATGAATTTGTACTCCTACTGCTAATTTTTTTTAGGATTTGTCTATTCCTCACCCGAGTGAGCAATTACTCGATTTTTTTTCCTCTTTCCAATGGCACTGTCCATGGTCCTACTCGGCCCCGCCGCCGCCCACTGCCCCGCCACGGCTACACTACGCTGCTGCAGAGCTCCGGTGATTGGAACAAATTCCAAATTTAATTGTGTGTACTCCTACTTAAAAAATTACGTATATATATATATATAAATGGTATGTATGCAAAGTTTTATTTGAAAAACGATCGTGTGTATAAAAAATGCCAGACCACCTAAAACCCAGTTGAAGGCGCCAAAACGAAGGCTAAAAACCACAACACGTGCCTGATTTCCTCCCAAAATTTTCCAAAGTTTCCCACCGCACCAAATTTCTGTGCACAAACGAAAAAAAGAAAAAAGCGCCATATATCGTCGGTTCCTCCCCCCGTACCTGCCTATTCGTTTCCCCTCCCCAAAATTAGATCGTGATCTGTCCAGGAGCCCCCGACGCCGCCTCCATGAGGGCCATGGCGCCGCCGCCTCCTTCCAGGACGCCCCCGACGCCGCCTCCTTCCAGGACGCCGCTGATGTCGCCTCCAGCCAGGACGTCGCTTCCTCCTCAGGGCATGAGCGCCAGCAACAACGCCACCGCCTTGGGCACCCATCGATATAATGAAGCCACCCTCAAACTAGAAGATGAACATGGGTTCTCTCGTCCATATAGCACCAGGTAGATTGTTGGCTTTGACTGCTGTCATCAGAAATCTAGTTTATTAGATTCCTGTTTGTTAGCACCAGGTAGATTGTTGGGGCTTTAATTAGGGATGCAAACGGGTGCAGGTTTGCCTGCAACCTGCTAATTGGTTATTTTACATGTGAAGTTCCTAATTTGTGGCCTTAACATTGGTTATTTTACATGTGGAGTCCAGGACGCCCCCGACATGGCCTCCGTTGAGGATGCCACTGGCAACGCCTTCAGGCAGGACGGCGCTTCGTTCATAGGGCATCAGCGCCAGCACAGACTCCACCGCCTTGGGTACCCATCGCCATCGATATACTGAGGCCACCCTCGAAGTAGAAGATGATCTTGGGTTCTCTTCTCCATATGTCCCCAGGTACAATGATTACTTAATCTAGGTTTTTTGATTCATATTTAATCTCGCATCACAGCAAATTCTACAAATTGTGAGGGGTTTACGGTTTTCAAGCATTTGCTGCTTGCATATTTTGGTCATGATAAAAGCATAATTTTTTTTCAATCTATGAGGATGGAATTGTCTGATTGTGTCATCAACTAGAACAAATTTTTTGGAACAAATTTTCTGATATTGAATGGATCTGGAACTGTCTTCAATGGGTTCACATCAAAGCAAGGCTGCAAAAATAATTGACAAAATAAAAATATATTCAGTATATGTATGACAGGTTGACGTAATGTTGTCAAAATGATTAGAAACAAAGCCAATAACTTCAGCATATGTATAACACTATACCTATGTCAAGATGTTATCAGTACTTTTTTTCACAGCTGCAACAGACACTGGCAAGCGTCAGGATGATTTCTTCAGGACTCGTAGTTATGTTCTTAGTAAGCATATATATGGTGTTTATTGCATCTTAGAAGGAGGCACATTTATTTAGTGAACAATTCAAGCAAAGATATGAGATTTAAACATAAATGTGAGAACTCTCACTGCATTTTTTAGCGCTATCAGGGATCTTGCTCTGCTTGCTAGCTCCATGTTGTTTATGTGATTTCATACTTATTTGTTTTTCAATATAAAGATATGTGTCTATCGCAGCCCTGAAATTAATCTGTCAAGCTCTTGAATGTTGGTAAATGCAAAGATATGTTACTGCATCTACAGTTAAGTCAAATTCATGGAAGATGTAGCTATCCAATCATCCAATGTGTTAGAACACAGGTTTAATATTTTCTTCATAAAAACAAATTTCTGACTTACTGGTTCTGTCTCTTCTGGATGGTCTACTATAACATTATTATTATTATTATATATTACTACTGCTGCCTCCAGTAAAAAAAAAAGATGTTTAAGAAAAGCAATTACTTGCTCGGTATTTGTTTTGCTTGTCTGAAATTACAGAAAGTAAACCCATCTGTTTCGATTCAGGAATACAAAGTCTGAGATCGTTTTCTATGCTTAAATATCAATGTTTAACTACACAAAAATGTATGGATGTAGTTAACCTTTTTTTGCATCAGGCATTGAATTTCTCATGTTACATGTGCCTGCTCTATAATGGGATTACAGAAACCATCTAAAATAGAATCCTAAATTCAATGATATTTAGTTCAATTACTTATATATATGTAATACTTTACCTTTTTTATTCTTGTCTATTTATCAACCATTGTCCTATTTATGCAGTGGCACGGACGAAATGTGGACTCTTTATGTTCATTGCAAGAATGGACTTCCAGATCAGGATTATGTAATGTTCAAATTGGAAAGGCCTCATATAAAATTGTCAACCTTGACATCTCTTAAGGACCAGCTTGGGTATAATGCCTGGGACTTCTTGTACTACAAGAAGCGTTGTGGAAGAGATGTTGCAAGTCTTTAGCCCCTCGATTTTGTCAGACATGCAGAGATTATGCTACAAGATAATGAGAGAGAGAAGGAAATCAGATTAGTACTCTCAAAGGAACAAGAGACAGCACAGCAAGTCAGCATAACACCCCTCAAGTGACCAAGGCAGCAGCTGGAAGAAGATGAGCATCCGTTTATGGATGATCCTTTTGATGCATACAAGGACTGGCTAAAGAAGCTACGACCGGAACAATCCAAAAGTATATCATCTATGTTTTTGCATATGTTTTCGTATTAAGCAAAATCTTAGCACCTTTATATAAACTACACCTCATCTTACATTTTTTGGTGACTAACAAATTTGAAGGATGACACTAGGCAACAAGCAGTCAACACGTACAAGGAATTTTTAAGGATGAAAGGGGACATTCTAGAAATTAGTAATTTATTTTCCTTCTTCAACCAATGTTGTTTAGTACTATTTTTTTTAAAACTGAACCTTTAACCTTGTGTGCAGTGGCATTTGTCGAGCAACGTGACACCAATGCAATCGTAGACGAAGACGACGAAAGCAATGGAAGCAATGCGACACCACCCTCAAATAGGCCAAGCCATGCAAGGAAGGCAAGAGACGAGGGAAACGGTTTGTGATAATGCATTTACTTTTAATATTGGGTTCACATATCTTAATTGAGAACTACTACAGCTCAAGATTGTTATTGTCTTTTTTGCAAGGACATGGCTCCAATGAACGCAAGAAAAGAGGTCGTGGCACTGTTAAAGGATTAACAGTAGGCAACACGAGAGTTAAGGAACGCATTCACACACTCCCAATCGAATTTTCAGAAAGCCGTGGAGGACCCATTGGACCGAATACCCGTGCATTTGTCGATGAGGTCGTTTTATTTACAAGGCAATGGGCCCCACTAATTGAGTAAACAGTTGGAAGGATATAAAGGAAGAAGTCAAACTAGAAATTGCAGAAGAGATACTGGTATGATGTGTACTATTTTTTGTTAAGGAACATTGCTATTGCTCTTTTACTGTCCAAAAAAGTGAGTGTACAAGTGTAGAAATTGTGATGTTGACATGTTGATTTATGCTAATGTCATTGTACTAACCTAATGAATTTATCCCTCAGATGCTATTAGATTTCTTTTCTTGATTGTTTCTTTCCTCATGTTGCTTCATGCCCAGCCATTGTGCCTTTTAGTTTAGATTTCAGCTGAAAGCATATTCTGTAAACCCTTCCCATTGTATACAGAAAAAGGCATGTTCAGTTAACCTCTCAAAGGAGAGTTATTTCTATGACTTTAGGATAGTGTTTGATCATTTATTTGACAAATTGGATGTGTGAAGCGAAGTGGATGATTTAGCTTTGTCATGTAGTATGTTTCATTAAATAAGTTTATTTCAGGCTCTCCAACTAGGATTAGTACTGTTGCACTGGATGATTAGTACTGTTGCACTAGCATGATTTTTATTTTTATTTTTATGATTTATTTTTTCTACACGCCACCTTAGCGTTAGCACGGACATTATACTAGTTCTAATAAAACATTTCATTGCTTTTTAATTGTAAACAGCTTAGGTGGAACTTCATCAACATTGATGATGTGGATAAAAGAAAAGAGAAAATATGGAAAATTGCCAAGGAGCGGTACAGAGGATGGCGATCTGATCTGAGTGCCACATACAAGGCTTATAATAGTTATGGTGAGAGGATACGAAATAAACCCGAAGAAATACACCTTTTTGAGTGGCACTACTTGCAGTTGTATTTTGGATCTAATAAATTCAAGGTCAGTGCTAGTAAAATCTACTTTGTCAAACAAAATTGATGGACCAAAGTTGCATTGTTACATACCACTTGTTCTCATTCTACAGAAACTTAGCAGCCAGAACTCCTCCAACTGTCAGCAGCAAAGAACCAAGCATGTGATGGGTTCAAAGAACTTCTCACAATGTAGCTTTGAGCTGGTAATCATTAGATACACTAATCTAGTCCTTCCCTTGTATGATGCAATACTTGTGTGCTCAATTTTTTGGCATCCTAGAGAGACCAAGAAACTGGTGAAGAGCCAAGTGATCTTCTTCTTTGGAGGACCACTCACACAAAACATGGCGCATGGTCAAATCCTATATCAGCTTCAGTATATGTAAGTAAATGTTTCATCAACCTTTTTATAGCTACTGGTAGTGTCAAGCAACTCTTTACAGGTTCTGTTATTTAATTTAGGAAAATGCAACCATGAAAATTGGTGAGATTGGATTAGAACCTGATAGACCAGCACTTACAACTATTGAGGAGAACATGATTTTCCAATCATGCTACAAAGAAACAACACAAATCAAATCATCCAAATTACATGGGCATGGATATTTGGCTACGTATTGAACACGCAGAGAACTTATGAAAGAGAACCTTGAAGTACATGCACGTGCTCAAGCTGCAGCTAGGGAGAAGAGCATTGCTTTAGAAGCGGAGGTTGACAAGCTCAAAGAACAGATTGCGCAAGAAGCTGCAGAAAGGGAAAGGGAGAAAGAAGAAAATAGGAGGTGGATGCAAGAGGAGCTGGAAAATGCTAAGATAAACTTAAGAGAAGAAATGAAGCAAGAATTTCTTAATATGCTAGCGCAGCACAGAGAAGGAGCTATGATTATGGTATTAGAATAATTTTTTATCCTTTGTACTCTTGATAATCTTATGATTGTGATGCCTAATCTTTCACCCCCAATATTTGTATGTATAGAGTACCCTGCAAAACAATGCCATTACACAAGTTGCACCAATCATAGAAGAGGAAGGTAAGACCGGTGGACATGAAAATGAAAATGAAGATGGGTTACAGGAGGTAATGACATTATTTCACTATGTTCCATGTACCTTGAACTGTAGCTAAAATAGATCAAACAACTTGATGTTTGTAGGCTCAGCCTAGAAGCGTTGTCATCGTACAAAAAGGTGCACAAGCACCTACTCGCTCCACTATAAGTACTGCACCTCCCAGCAGAGCTCTTTTCAACGAAAACACTGCAAATGTGACTGCATCGAAGACATATATCACTTCACAGCAGCTGATGAATAGGACAAGAAATAATCCCAAAAGGAGGAAGGTAACAACCAGCTAATTGGAATCTAAATTCTTGCATGATTTAATGAAATTTTATCAAATGTGACCTTCCTTGTTGAACTAGGAAATGTAGAAAATACATTGAACATGCGTGCTGAAAACTGCAGCTTGTGCAGGTTTGATTGGGTAAGTTGTTCTGAGTAGTAATCTACCTTTTCTATGAGACTTGATAATACAAAAGTTGTAGAGGGTTTAGAGATGTTTGTCGTCGTGAAAGGTCATGATTTTAGACCTAGAGAATTAGAATTATGAATTTTGAAAGTAGCTGGTCAGGTTTTGACCTTGGTCTGGACAGCAGTGGGTGTTTGTGTTTTTTGACCATGATAACTGTAGAATCTTATTTAACAAATAACTAGGAAGATGTAGAGAATTTCATGGGCTTTCCGTATTGTTAAAGAATATAATTTTTCGTTGTCTACAACTCAAGTTATGATTTTTCTAATCAACTAAACTGCTGCTGCCTTAAAAATTCAGAGAAGGCAGCTGCTACTGTAACATGACTTCCATCTTTTTCATAGAAAAAGGAATTGCAGCAACTAGACCGACAACATCTGCTCATTTGCAGAATTGCAGTAGAACTTCAACTATGCAAAAGCTTGGTTGATGGCTTTTGTATATGAAATTAGAAATTAGAACCATTTTATATCTTCATCTCTTTACATTTGTGCAAAAATTAGTAAACTTAATATTGTTCTAATATCCCAATCATATTCTTTTGACAGTAGGTGGACAAGGTTTCAGTGGGAGGCTTATAATCAAGCGAGGACATAGCCGAGGAGATGACATGTTGGGCTGCTAGGAATTTCTCAAGTGCTGCATAGATGTTAGGAAGTTTGTAAAAAGTTGTCAAATAATGAGTTAATTGTACACTCGTTTATGATTTTAGCTACTATTTCATGGGTTTGGCAACATATTGAATGATTAATTATAATTAATATATGTGGGTGCAATTGCTTTTGATATGGTTTATTGATTTGCAATGATGATTTATTAAACCAAAATTAAATTACTAGGGTTGCAATAAAAGCTATACCTACGAGCCGTGATGCGTGGCAATATGCTGTATGGCAACAGACTTATTTACGTTGCAAATAATACTATTGCCACGACATGACTATTGTTGCAATAACAATTAATGTTCCGCAACGAATAAAATTGCATGGCAAATTCTACTGTTGCAACGGCACCGAGGTCATGGCAACAATGAACGGTATATCGCAACGAATAAAATTGCATGGCAAATGATACTGTTGCAACGGCAACGCGGCCGTGGCAATAATGAACGGTATCTCACAACGGATAAATTTGCGTGGCAAATGATACTATTGCCACGCCAAGACAAGCGTGGCAATAATGTATACTCTCTCGCAACGATTACATTTGCGTGGTAAATGATTTACTTGCCACGGCACAGTGGTCGTGGCAACAACACCTTAAGCAACAAAATTATAGCGTGGCAAAAAAAATCTATTGCCACGCTATCGCTCATTGTATTTACCACCTCTCGCTACGAAGACAAACGTGGCAAGTGCTCGTATTGCCACGCCAATGAATGTTGCGATAACATCCTATTGCAATGCTTAGCAATGTTGCAAGAAAAGCTAACTCTTGCAACGCCAAACTAGCAACGGTTGCAAGTTCTTATTGCAACGTGACTTTTTGCAACCATTGCCAACGAACGCGATTTCGTGGTATGAACTACCTTTTGCAACAAAATTGGGCCTATTGCAATGTTTTCTCGTCGTTGCGCAAGGGTTAGAAGTTTGTAGTGATGGGTGTTCTTCGTTCATGACAAGACCGAAGTTGCATCATGTCTCAAGAAGTTTGCCAAGAGAGCACAAAATTAGTTTGAAGTGAAGCTCAAGAACATAAGAAGTGATAATGGAAAAGAGTTTGACAACACAAACATTGAAGCTTATTGTGATGAAGTTGGGATCAAGCATGAGGTCTCCGCAACATATACTCCTCAACAAAATGGTGTAGTTGAGAGAAAGAACCGGACGCTTATCACACTTGCAAGAACAATGCTTGATGAGTACAACACACCTGAAGCTCTATGGGCAGAAGCTATCAACACCACATGTTATGCACCCAACCACCTATTCCTTCAAAAGTTTCATGGCAAGACACCTTATGAGTTGCTCAATGGGAAGAAGCCGGACATCTCATTTTTCCGGGTGTTTGGTTGCAAATGCTACATCTACAAGAAGCGGTAACACCTAAGGAAGTTTCAAAGATGTTGTGATATTGATTTTCTTGTTGGTTACTCATCAAAGTCCAAAGCATATCGAGTATTTAATCATGCCACCAGCTTGGTTGAAGAAACATATGATGTGGAATTTGATGAATCTAACGGCTCCCAAGGAGCACAGAGAATCTTGATGATGTAGGTGATGAACCATTGAGGGAGGCTATGAAGAACATTCCGGTTGGAGACATCAAGCCTGAAGATGATGTATAAGTGATTGATCCACCTTCTTCATCAAATGTGCCACAAGATGGTGATAAAGATAGGAGAGTAGAAAATAAAGATACTCACGTCTCTCATGATCAAATGGTGGCACAAGCTCAAGATGTTGATGCTCCACAACCTCCCCCTCAAGTGGTTGATAGAAGAAATTCACCTCTACTACAAGCTCATCCACAAGATCTCATCATAGGGAGTCCTTTAAAGGGTGTAATGACTCAATCTCAAAAACTTGCTTCATTTATTGAACATCACTCTTTTGTCTCTTGTGTCGAACCTAAGAATGTAGAAGAAGCTCTTCAAGATTCAGATTGGATAAATGCCATGCATGAAGAGTTGAACAACTTCACTCGCAATGAAGTTTGGACTCTTGAAGAGCGACCACAAGGTGCAAGAGTCATTGGAATAAAGTGGGTGTTCCGCAACAAGCAAGATGATCAAGGCGTTGTAGTGAGGAACAAGGCAAGACTAGTTGCAAAGGGGTTCTCTCAAGTTGAAGGATTGGATTTTGGACAGACCTTTGCATCGGGTGCAAGACTTGAAGCCATTCGTATCCTCCTTGCATATGCATCGCATCATGAAATGAAATTATATCAAATGGATGTTAAAAGTGCATTTTTAAATGGCTTCATAAATGAACTAGTCTATGTTGATCAACCTCCCGGGTTTGAAGACCCTAGATATCCTTATCATGTTTGTAGGTTGTCCAAGGTGCTATATGGGCTTAAGCAAGCCCCAAGAGCTTAGTATGAGCGCCTTTGGGATTTCCTCATTGAGAAGGGCTTCACCGTTGGGAAGGTCGACACCACACTATTCACCAAGAAGCTTGATAGAGAAATCTTCATTTGCCAAGTCTATGTTGATGATATCATCTTTGGATCATCAAATGAAGATTATTGCAAAGAGTTTGGTGAATTGATGTCGAAGGAGTTCGAGATGTCAATGATTGGAGAGCTTACATTCTTTCTTGGTTTTCAAGTCAAGCAAATGAGAGAAGGGATTTTCATCTCTCAAGAAAAGTATACCAAGGATGTTCTCAAGAGGTTCAATATGGATGAATGTAAGCCAATCAAGACACCAATGCCATCTAATGGACATCTCAACCTAGATGAGGGAGGTAAAATGGTTGATCAAACTCTCTACCGCTCTATGATTGGTAGCTTGTTATATTTAACAGCATCTAGGCCTGATATCATGTTAGTGTGTGTATGTGTGCTAGATTTCAAGCTAATCCTAAGGAAGCTCATTTGGTAGCCGTTAAAAGAATCCTTAGGTACCTTAAGCACACACCAAGCATTGGTCTTTGGTATCCCAAAGGAGCTAGATTTCAATTAGTTGGCTATTCCGATTTGGATTATGCTGGTTGCAAAGTTGATAGGAAAAGCACATCTGGAGGGTGCCATTTGCTTGGTAGATCACTTGTGTCTTGGTCCTCCAAGAAGCAAAATAGTGTGGCTTTGTCCACCGCTGAAGCGGAATACATTGCCGCGGGTTCTTGTTGTGCACAAATACTTTGCATGAAGCAAACTTTGCTAGACTATGGTGTAGTTCTAGAAAAGGTACCTCTTTTGTGTGACAATGAGAGTGCGGTAAAGCTTGCTAATAATCTAGTTCAACACTCTCGCACCAAGAACATAGATATCCGCCATCACTTTCTTAGAGATCATGTTGCTAAAAATGATATATGATTAGAACGTGTAAGGACCGAGGATCAATTGGCGGATATCTTCACTAAACCGCTAGATGAGGCGACTTTTTGTCAGTTGAGGAATGACCTCAATGTGCTTGATTTTAGTAACTTCAATAGAAAATGAGCTTATGTTGTCCCTTGCATTGCATTGTAATATACAACATGTTTACTTTTTGGTAATGCATTTAGGGCTTGTCTAACATGGTTAAGATAACTACCAGAAAGTGTGTGAAGAAGCTTAACCTTGGATCAAACTTGACAAGCAACTAGAATTACTTTCAAGTATTGCATTGCATATGCATGTATGTTGTTTTGTTGTTTCCTTTCGATTACCCTTTTATTGCCTATTTTCTTAAAAAGAATTATAGCCTAAGGCAAAATACTTTAAAAATTTTGAGGGTTTGAGAGAGGTCACTCACATCAGTCCCAATTTGTGTTTATTTGGGTCTTATTGAAGTTGGGACTTGATTGGGAACAAGGGAAAAGCGGACTCCGGACTTGAAGGAACATTGAAGATTTTTGAAAAAAGGGCCGATCTAGGATGGTGATCCTGCTGGTCGGAAGAAGTTGGATACTGGACCGGAGCGTCCGGTCATGGGTAACCAGACGTGTCCGATCATGGAGGTGAATAGAAGCACAAAGGAGCAACCGGATGGTTAGTAGAAAATGCGGATGATCTTCCCTGACCTAATCTAGTCGATGGTGATCCATGAGCCACGTCCCCGTCAAGCGAAGAAGTTGGATACAGGATCGACTCGGACTCTCGGCCCGCCGCCCATGCCCACATGGGTAACCCGGACGTGTCCGATCGTGACTTGAGGCGACGACTTGTCGCCTCTCCACTACATTGCTCAGTACCGTAGTCGCAAACTCTAACGGACTTGGGGTGGCAGCATCCGGTCGTTGCTTGCCACCG